TTTTTTATTTTTTTCTTTTCTGGTTTCCTCTGCTAGATAATAAGCTCCTTGGGTCAGATATTTTCATCTGCCATTCCCTGATATATCCAGCACCTGCACAGTTCCTGGCACTTAGTGGACTATCTATTCATTGAATGAATGAATAACACTTAGTTCCTATCTCTACATTTTGCCAAAAAGGACAGTAATAACTTTCTTCATATAATAATAGGAATGGGGTGCCTCCCCTGGTGGCGCAGCGGTTGAGCGCTGGGGTGTGAGGCTGCCTGCAGCCTGTGCAGCACCGGTTCATTCCCCAGCCACGGCGAGGGTCCCACAAAAAAAAAAAAAAAGGAATGGGTTTGTTTGCTATAAAATTAAGCATGTGCTGGTCATAGTACTTAAAGATCTAAAAGAGATGATACAATCTCTTACTAGATTTTTAAACAAAGTAAATGAACACTTGATACTTATGATCCTTATGATTTAGTGTGTATGTGAATATTTGTGACCCTTTCTATAGGTATTTAAAATACCCTTTCAGGGCCTCCGTGGTAGCTCAAGGGGTTAAGTCGCAGCCACTATGAAGCTATCCACAGTCACTGCAGCATGACTTCGATCCCCAGCCAGGGAGCTAAGCCACAGGGCACAGCAGATCTTTCCTGTCTCACCTGCTGCTCCTCTCAGCAGAGTATTTCAGTCAATCCACTTGTTCGGTTCCCCACTCTGTCTCTGGTGAATCCTTTCACACACAACCCATACCTCTGGCCTATACCCATTTCTTGTATATATAAATAAATAAATCTTTAAAAAATAATAAAAATAAAATAAAATACCCTTTCATCTAAACTTGCCCTCACACCTTCCTCATTTTCTGTGTGGCTACCTCCACTGTGCGCATCTTCACCCATTACTGACTTACCTCACTTTGGGCTTCAGCTGGGTCTGATTTCATGTATAACAAGTCCATAAATAATATAATTTCATTTAGCATTTTTCAACATAACATGGTTGAGAAAAATCAGAAACAATGTTACAGTGTACATCATTATAAGTTTTGCTTAAGTTGCTTAAGTTGAATTTCCAAGAGCCTATCTACAATGTTAATGGAGGACTCGCTGTACTTAGGGTTAGTACATTTCATGGTCCACCATGCTCACATATTATATAAACATGCCTGGACCTTCACAGAAACCCACACACACTCTAACATAGCAACTGAAAATCTAGTTATTTTGCATTTTTTTATTTTGTAAGACTCACAGTGAAATATATGGTCTTGCTTTTAGTGATTGACTTCTCAATGCAGTGTAAATAAATTAATGTTGGAATGATCTATATTACTGATCTGTCTAATTGTTCCGTAAGAATCTGATAAAAAAAAAAATTTATCTAAAAACAGTTGAAGTAGTGTTAAGGTTTGGATGATATTTTATTTCAATGAAAGTTTTTTTGTTGTTTCATTGGAGAGGATTTGTTTGCTGGTGTTTTGTTTTTTGTTTTGAGATCACCTGGGTTTACAACAGAGTATATGATTTAGAGATCTAGGATCACATCTTTCAGGCATATGTTATCACACCACACCCACCACAACCAAGGTATCTTCCATCATTGTCCATTGTGCCCCTCCCCACTGGGTTTTGTCCCCTCCATTTTCCCCTCTGGTAGCCTCAATTGTACAGTCAGATTTCTAGGATTTGTTATTGGTTTGGTTTTGTCTGACCCTTCATTTTGTTTCTCTATATACCACATATTAATGAAATCATCCAATATTTGTCTTTCTCCTTCCAACTTATTTTGCTTAGTAAAATCCTCTCCACTTTCACCCATGTTGCCAAAAATGGCAAGAGTTTATCATTTTTATAAATGTGTAGTATTCCATTGTATATTTATACCATATCTTCCTAAATCTACTCATCTGTGTTTGGGTATTTAGGTTGTTTCCATTAACTTGGCTATTGTAAATAGTATTACAATGAACATAGGAGTACATATATTCCCTTTGAATTAGTGCTTATGCATATTTCAGATAGATACCTAGGAGCGGAGTGGCTAGATCATATCATAAATCTTAATATTTTCAGGAAGTTTCTGGATCATATCATAAATAATATATCATATTATGATATATTATCATATTATGATATGATCATATCATATCATAAAATATTTCTGGATCATATCATAAATCATTAATATTTTCAGGAAGTTTCATGCTTTATTCCACAGAAACTAAAAAACCTACATTCCCATCAACTGTGTAATTAATAGGGTAACTCTTTCTCCACACCCTTGCTAGCACTTGTTGTTTCTGGTTCTTTGGATATAGACCATTCTCACATTGTAGTTTTGATTTGCATTCCCCTGATGATAAGTGATGATGAGCATTTTTTCATGTGTCTGTTGCCCATCTGCATATCTTCTTTGGACAATAGCTATTTAACATTTCTGCCCAATTTTTGATGGGTTATTTGTGTCCTTTTGGTAGAATTGTGAATTCTTTGTAGATCTTGGATATCAGCCTTTCGTAGGATGTATGGTGGGCAAATATTTTCTCCCATTCAGTATGGTGTCTTCTGGTTTTAGTGACAGTTTCTTTCACTGTGCAGAAGCTTTTATAGTTTAATTCAGTCCCAGTTGTTTTAAATTCTCATTTGCTTCTCTTGCTATTGACGAATCCACAAAGACATCTCTGAAGCCTAGGTCATGGAGTATTTTGCCTGTTTTCTTCTATGTATTTTATTAGCCTGAGTAGTTTTTATATCAAGCCAAGAGAGATAGAAGGAATCTTTTAGAATGAAATTTAAATAGGGCTGCTAAATTCAACAAAAACATACACATAAATTTCAGGTAAACAATGAATAATTTTTTAGTATAAGTATGTTATAATGAGAATCCTGTATTTTTTCTAGTGATCCCACATTTAAATAGTCAAGTGTTCTATGAGTGAAATAATTTTGTTAGATTCCTTGTGAATATTAATAATTTATATTAAGATGCCACAGAGGGAAAAGGTTAGAAATTCATTTTTATTTGTTGGTGATATAGTGAAGCAGATTGTTTTAATTTAGCCAAAGTCTATATAATGAGAAATACATGAGTAATGAGATTCTGGCCCAGGAGCACATCAATCATTATGCTTCTTCCCCAACATTTATCATCTGGAGGAGCACAGAGATCACATGACAGAATCACATGCATTTCCCCATGACACAAAAAGAAGTCAAATCACATCTGTGATAGCACTTGAAGTCTCTCAATTTACTCATCCCAGATCCTTCCAAGAGGTCTTAGTTCACTCAGGCTGCTATAACAAAATGTCATAGCCTGAGTGGCTTAAACAATAACAATTTATATCTCATGGTTCTGGAAACTGGCAAGTCCCAGGTCAAGTTGCCAACTGATTTAATTCCTAGTGAAGGCCCTATTCCTGGTTTGCAGACAGATGCAGTCTTATAATCTCACAGGGCAGAGGGAAAGAGATCATTTATCTCATGTCCCTTCCTATAAAGTCACTAATCCTGCTCATGAGGATTCCACCCTCATGATCTCATTGCTTCCCAATGACCCCACCTCCACATGTTATCACATTAGACATTAGGGCTTCAATATAAGAATTTGAGAAGGATGCAAATATTCATTCTATCACAGTGGAGATTTGAATAAAGATACATGTGTGTATCCAGAGTGAACTTGGATGTTAGCAAATATTATTTCTGACAGTTGAATGAATTATGAGTAAACACACCTAGGCACCCTCTCCAGATGAGAGAATAGAGGGTGCTTCTCTGAAATCTGGGTACAATTCACCAAGAGACCAGTTTTATTTTAAGAAACTAATAAAACTAATATGATTCCACCTTTCAAAGCTGTTTATCACTTGGAGTTTCAGTTTGGTGATTGCACTCTAGTAAATTAGCTCACCGAGAGTCCAAAGATTATATCTGTCTCCAGACAGTCCATTCATCATGCTTAGCATTTGTATTTCAACACAGCTTTCCCACATATTTGCCAAAATGCCAACTGAAGTAATCACAGAAAGCTCCCTGTTTTGATCTATCTAATGCCTTAAATATTGTCAGTGACTCTGGATTTAGGTTTATTGGAATATTTTAATAACCCACCAATCTCTTTATCTGAAAGTTTCGTATAACCACTTTCTTAGTTCATAACTATTTATTGAATTCAATTTTGCACCAAGAAGGGAGTGGACTTCAGTAGTTCAATATGTACTTACCACAAAAAAATCAAGCAAAGTGATAGTAGAAATTATCATGGTATAATCATATAAAAGTGACAAAACCTTTAAATTTTATCAAACATTTAGCAAGTTGTATGATCAATATAAAATTCAAATTATAAGTGTCACCTTTATTCTTCAACATTGTTTTGCAAATTGCCATGATATTCTGTCACATTATTCAATTTTGGAAAGGCATAATTTCAACTATCAGTGGTGAAACTATCAAAATGTGATAACTGGGATCACAAAAAATTCAATTGCTTAAAATGCTGGCTTGCGTGATTGGAAGATGAATAAAATTTCTGGGTCAAAATTGCCCAACTAATTTGCTGGGAGTTCCAGGTGAGCATATGGGATCCAAACCTATTCTAATGCCATCTTTGGCTTGGCCCACCTATGACCAGGTCAGTTTTACCACCTGATAACAGATGTATTGAGTTTTATTCTGCGGTAATTTCAGAAATTCAAGGGCACTAGGTTTAATATCATGGGTAAGCAGCTTGATGAAGGTGTACGCTAACTCATGTTCTTTTAGTCTCATCTCTCTAGAAGTATTGAGCCAGAGAAGATGGATACAGAAACCCACCTTCTGTTTTCCTATGGACACACAGATGCTTACTCTTTCTGTACCAATTTCTTATTTTTAAAGTACAACATTAAAATAATCAATGCAAAATTATTTTTTATTGTATAACTCCTTTTTTATGCTTTCTATTCTTTGGGGAAATGATAAGACAAAATGAATTGGTCTCAGGAGATGACTCCTCAGACAATACTTGAACTCCACCTGCTATGGCCCCCACTGTCCTCTCAGAAACTCTGCCTTTCTTTACTTTATTGAGTGTTTTGCCTGTGACTGATCAAAGTGCCACAGATAAAATGTCCACTGACCAGACAATGCTAATCTCAGGACTAAACATCCTGACTGATGATTATTTTGCCATCAGTTAGTCAGCTCCAAAAATACCACATTCATCTACAGCTACAGAAGATAGCAGGTTAAGTACAGGAAGTTAAGATATAGATGGGATGGATCTACCTAATACTCCTGTCTCCTCCGAGATACCAGGACTCCGTGGGTATGATTCCATTCCAGATCCTTTCTTGGCAAACACCACTCCTGTCCCCACTTTACAGTATGTGACCACTAGTTCTATGACCGTGGCCTCCAAGGGCCAAGAGCTGGTGGTGCTCTTCAGTCTGCATGTAGCTAACATACCCTTCTCCAACAACTTGTTCTACAAGAGCTCTCTGGTGTACCAAGATCTGGAGCTACGATTCATACAGCTGGAGAGTAGGCACTGTATATAATTCATTATGTGTCTCCTGTTTTTCATTGTTACTTTCTAATAAAATCACTGACTCTCTCAAGCAATGCAGATCAGAAGAGCTATTGCTGAAGGCATTCATCTAGAGTGTTGAGATGGATTCAGATCCAATAGGCAAGTGAGTTCAATAGTGGACACAAGAGGCAAATACTGGGAACAAACTTATCCTTTAGATCTTTTCATTATAATTTTCCCTAATTTAGTTTTTCCAGGAATGATGCATAGTCACACAAGTACTGAACTTGGAATTTGAAAGAATATAAGCAAGCGTTTCCTAAATTATATTGCCCCAGGCTGTTTTCCAATCACCTAAAAAAATAATACAACTAGAATGGTCCAGCACAGATGAGGCTTAGAGTTCAAGTTGTAAGGACTCTTTTTATTTAAAAGCTAAATGGCTTATCACTGATCTCTAACAAAATAAGCAGACGGTCATGATGGTATATATGTTTTTATAATAAAACATCCCCTGAACTCACATGTGTTGTGTTTCTATATGTACAAAAGGAAATAAGCATATAATACTGAACTATGTGATACATCTCTATAATCATGTACAATTAAAGTCAAGTACACAATGCATATCACATAGATTGCAGAATTTCTGAAAATAATGAAAATAATTTGTAAGCTTCATATGGGTTTAATCATTATGCAAATTAAAATCACATAAAAGCCAATTTTTAAGTGTACTTTAAAGGAATACTAAGTGTACTTTAAAGGAATTTCCCCCACCTTCATAATAAGAGGAGTAGATATTGGGACACAGTATAAATTAGGGCACATGCTAAGCTGCCATAACGAAGAGATCAAGACTACAGTAATTTAAATATGATAGAAGTGTATTTCTCTTTGACTTGGTGGATGCCACAGTTCTGCTGACAATGTCATCCAGGGACCAACATTCCTTTCATCTTATAAGTCTGCCAACTACAAAAGTGTTTCTTCATTCACACAGTCAAAGCTGGGTTACTGGTACATCCATGTTTCCATTTGTGAGACAGGGAAAGAGAGGAAGCCCAGAGCAAGCAGTTTCCATTTGAGAGAACTAATCGTGTAGCCTCTTGCAAGGAAGGCTTGAAAATGTGGTCTCTATGTAGCCTTTTTCCCATGAAGAAGAGGAGAATGGATTTGGAAAGACAGCTGTCAGCACATTAAGTGAAGACAAGAAATTCCCACCACAGGTCAAAGCAATGCTAAAACACAAAGAAAGAGCCCAATGTAAGTAGGACAAATCAAGAAAGACTAGATTAAGAAGTTCTACACATAGAAACTTTCATTTTATTTTCCTAATTACATTGGGAGGAGAGTCAGAAGGCGGAGGTTTCAAATCAAAATACTGCTGCAGTAGGGCCAAAGACAGAGAAGGTCAGGGTCAAGCCTGCCTGTGCAGGACATTGTAACACGCATGTGTGTCCTCTCTGGGTTCAGAGGTGCAGGATCATGGATGAGGGGCTCACTTTTAGGGCCAGGAACAAGGCAAATATTGTAGAGTTTCAAATATTTTGAAAATATCTCTCAAGAATGATTGTAGCTCAGAGACAGCCTTGGGGACCTGAAGCCCATTTCTCTGGGGCATACTTTTGATATTAAGAAATTAGCTTGGACAGCGTTCTTAAGGAACTCCTGTTTCTTCTTCCCTACCATTTCAGATACAGGCACTGACGTCCAATTCAGTGGTTTAGTAGCTTGATGAAGGTCACGCAGCTAGTTAGGAAGAGTTCCAGAACTGACACCCGTCTCCTGACTGTCAGGAGCCCACTCTTTCCAGTGTACTGCATTTTCTTCAACCATGAAACATGCCCTGCATAGACAGACAAGCTGATGCTTAAGCTGTTGTATATTTCAATTGGTCATTTTCAAATTGATGGGCTTCAAATAGATGTTCCATTTACATGCGGGTAGGTCAGTCTGCTCCTGAGCTGTGCTTGAACTTGTTTTTATTTACTTGAATTTTATTTCAATAACTGAACTTGGCATTCCCACTTTGCTGATAGCTTTGGCCTGGATTTTTTTTTAATCCTCTGTCCTTACAATTCATCATGAAGAAAATCACTGCCCATTCATCTCAATACACAGAGAGAAAGGTGGAAATGTGGGCAATAATTACTGCAAATAGATCATTAAATAGTGGTGTCTGATTTCAGTTTAAATCCAAACACAAAAACAAAAATAATAAAAAAGGAACTGAAATTTATGCTTCAGATAATGAAAAGTGAGTCTAAACAGAATTAGCAGCAGCTGAGCATTTAGAACACAGTTAAGAGTAAACCATCTTTTATTTTGCAGCTGGTTCTATATCTACAATCCAATCTTACAGGAGTTAAGCAACTTGAAATACTCAGTTTCAGAAATAGGAGTGTGATTGTGAATAACAAAGTGAGGTTTGCTAGGTTGGTGCCATATAACCTCACCAAGGTTGTGCATGGTGTCTTGGAAGATTTTTGTTCTGTGGCAGCCCAAAACTTGATCTGGAAATTGACAGCTACTCTCTCAACATTGAACCAAGTTAAAAAAAAAAATCCAGGGCCTCCCCTGGTGGTGCAGTGGTTGAGCGCTGGGCTGCAAAGCTACCCGCAGCCTCTGCAGTGCTGGTTCGAACCCCGGCCACCAGCAAGGGTCCCACATGGTGCACAGACCTCTCCTGCCGTGCCCGCTGCTCCCCTCAGCAGTGTATTTCGTCAGTCTGCCTGTTCTGCTCCCCACTCTGGCTCTAGTGAATTCTCTCACCCTCCCGCGCTTCTGACTGTACCCAGTGCTTGTATAAATAAATAAAAATAAAAATCTAAAAAAAAAATCCAAAATGGAAAACTGTGGTAGTTTTGGTCTCTGTTTGTTTGAGCATGCAGTTCAATTTTGAGGTCACAAAAATCAAATTAAAATCACACAAAATAGGGGCCTTCCTAGTAGCACAAAGGGTTAAGTCTCAGCACCATGAAGCTATCACCACTGCTGCATGAATTCAATCCCCCACTGGGGAGCTAACCCACGTGGCACAGCAGACCTCTCCTGTCTCGCCCATTTCTCCCTTCAGCAGTGTATTTCAGTGGACCTACCTGTTCTGCTCCCCACTCTGTCTCTGGTGAATCCTCTCACTCCCCCACATCTCTGGTCTACACCCAGCTCTTGCTGCATAAATAAATAAATCTTTTTTAAAAAACCACACAAAATAAAAGTTATCCATCATCTTATTAGAAGAGATCTTAAAACATGCAGTTTAAAGTCTCCCTACATTAAAAAGCAAATAAACTCATTTCTTCACAATCTGAGAACTTAATTTCCACTCAAAACAAAACTTTTGCCAAGCTTAAGAGATTTTGTTTTGAATGTAGCCCACAGCCAACCTAATTTACCTTCTGCTAGAAGTCAAAAGCATTTTCTCAGTGAACTGCAACAACGTAGGGTATTCCTACCTGTGAGAACTTCCAGTCCCGGTGAACTATCAGAATCACCTCTTCAGGACACAATTCAAGATAAAACTGAGACAGCATCCTGAGGAGAGAAAAATAATCATTAGACCAAGATTCAAGCTTAGAAAAAAGCAATTTCACCATCACCAAAATAAAGAAGAAAAAATACACCTCCCATTTGTATATGTGCAGATTAAAACAAATAAAAGTTGGATGTGAAGAAAATGCTTAAACATATGGAGGTTTAACCCAAAGCTACATAACAGAGAGCAAACATTTGTTCTGATAATAAAGCACAGTGTTTGTGCCATTCAACCAGCGATGCTCAAATTAGAACGTTTTCCACCATTAGTTTCAAAATTCTGTTTTCTAACCAATTGAAGTAAGTCTTTCAATTCCCTGGAGTGCAAGGGTGGGAGGAGGCTCCAAATTCACTCCCAATGCCACCTTCTGGCAGGTTCAAAACAAAGCTTCCTAATTGGTTATGAATTAGTGAGGTGAATCTTTACCATCCTCTCTGGCTTTCTGTGGACTAACAATGAAGGCAGAGGGAAAAAGGCCTTGGGCAAAATGCAAACAAAAAGGCTCAGTTGGGAGACATTTATCTTCGACAGAGCAGAACTTCGAGCAACTTTAAGAAAATTGCCTCCTACCTTAGTAAACAGGATCTTTAAAAAGACAGAGCACCCTCGGGCGCTAAGCCTGAGCGTGCTTACCTCAGAACAGGGCCACTAAGTAAGCCCTCTGGACTCCCCAGGAAATCAAAGACCCGCCTAAGTGCTTGTAAACCCTCTCCCTCCTGAAGACTAGGAACCCTGATTTGAGAAGGAATGAAGAAGTCGCTGCCAGTTAAAAGACCAAGTTCTTCAGTCAGCTGAAAAGGACTTAGGGAGACACTGGGAAACCATAATGGAGGTGTTTTTCCAAAACCCTCTCTTTCTTCCTCTTCCTCCCTTGGGGACCTGATGTTCTATTTAGAGAACCATCCAACTATATAAACTATATAAACATTCCATGTAAGTGCTGCTAGGTAGTACCTTAAAAACAGGGCAGAAGCTAGTAGTGCATTGCCAGGATGCATGAGGAAGCCGGGTGAAGTCAGAAGGAAGCACAGCATACCAAAGGCCTTGGAGGGCCATGGTTCTGAATGTGAACCCAGTGTGCTGACAGTAACATTCGATTTCCACAACTGTAAAATAAAAATAGGAAGAGTTGTAAGGATTAACTAAAAGACTTTCAAAATTAGGTATCTTTAGTGACTTCTAGTCAATGGGCAATGTAGAAATGTGAATTCAGGACACCTCCCATTTCCCTCAAACAGAAAAAATCAGGTGTTTTTCGGTATGTTGTTTCTCTGTAACTCAGTGTCCCAAGCTTGTAGCCTAATTTGGTCCCTTCCTCTGCCTTGGTTCACCATGAGCCAGGGCTCAGTGACTTATTCCATAGAAGCTCACTCTGATACCAAAGGCCCGCCTCGGTTTCCCCCAGCCAATTAAAAGAAACAGTTTCAGGAGAAGGAAAGCAGTTTAATTTGTGGACAAACTGAGGAGGGCAGCAGACTTGTGTCTGAAAGACCACCATCCTGCTCTTTGGCAGAGGGCAGGGTTATTTATACAAAAGAGTAAATAAAAGGATGGATGGGGGAGATGGGCAAGGGTCTGCATGGCCTTTTTTTTTTTTTTTAAAGATTTATTTATACAAGCACTGGGTACAGTCAGAAGCGCAGGAGGGTGAGAGAATTCACCAGAGCCAGAGCAGGGAGCAGAGCAGGCAGAAGGACCGAAGTACACTGCTGAGGGGAGCAGCGGGCGCGCCATGTGGGACCCTCCCCCAGCGGCCGGGCAGCAGCTGGGTATCGAACCCGCGCTACAGAGGCTGCTGGCAGCTTCGCAACCCCGTGCTCAACTACTGCACCACCGAGGAGGTCTTTCTGTGCAGGCATTTGGAGATTGGCAAGAGTCAGCACAAGCTCAGCTTTGTTAACCCCCTGGTGTTTAATTTCCATATTGTCATCTAAGAAATCCTCTTTTTTTCCCCTTCGAATGCAGAAAGACAGACTTGTTAAGTAGAAAGACAGACTTGTTAAGTGCGAGAGATAAGAATGTTTATCTGGTGGGGCAGAGAGATAGGTCCTTTTGTCACTGTATCAACTCCATTTTGAAGTAGATTCTCCACACAGGTTTCTAGAACCTGTCTGTATGTTCACACCCACTAATAACTGTAGATGTTAAGATAGAGGGACTAGTTAGTAACAGCAAATACAAAGGGAAAGAAGCAGCTGCAAAATGAGAAAACAGATTTTGTAAATAAGTTCAAACCGTGCTTGTGAACAGGCCTTACACATGTCCAATGACTGTCAAAATAAAGAGCATTCTAAAATTTTTTTAATTTAAATATATTTACAGCACTTAGTATGCATTTGACATACTATAGTTTCCTAAAAAATAAGGTTAGTAGTAACTATTATAACATCATCTCTATTAACATGACAAATAATGTGTGAGCTGCATATTGCCAATGAGGACAATAAAAGGTGCATGACAAGGTCTTTGCATGGAGATTGGAATGGAATGATTTTCAGTACTTTCCTGTGAACAGTTCTGTTATTTAGCTCTCCCTCTAAGCCAACCGCAGTAGCAATGAGCTGGTGTTAACATTCGTTTCAGTCCCTGCTGGAGCCAAATTTATGCTGAGCTATCCAAGAAATGCCTCCAGGTTGCTTAGTGCTCTGTGAGGCAGCGTGCCCAATTTATACCTCTAGTGGTAGAACAAAAAGAGAAGGCCAGAGTGTGCTGGACAAGCTGGCAAATTACCTTATTTCTTACAAGATACTTGGAGAGCGAGAACAATCTAAATTTTTAATACATTGAAAACTGACAGAATGAATGAATGAGAGAGGTCTTCCAAGAAATGGCTGTCATGAGCCAGCTAGGACCTGAATAATGCCTGCATGAAAGGCTTTGAGAACAGCAGAATTAGACAGCATAATATGGCTTTTCTAAAAGTTAAAAATAAATGACAATGAACTTTATGAATTCCTCTATATAAATCAAAATGGATAAATTCAATATCCCAAAGTTCTTCTATTTATAGTAAGATGTCACTGTGCCAACCTGTCCACAAAATGTTTCGTCCAGTCAGCAGGGAGGAGGATTCCTAGCAGAATTCCTGCTAAAACTGCCCAATGAAGAGAGAAAAGTTGAGGTCAAGTTGTAAAGGTCAGGGGAACCTGGGTAACCTTTGGGTAAGGAACAAATCTTTTCAGCACCAGAGCTGAAAAGTCAGGACACCATGTGGGTGCCAGTGCTAGCGGTGGGCAGTGGGGACTGCAAAGGAGAGGCAGGTGACCACCCGGGAACCAGCAAGTAGTGGGCAGGGACCCCCTCAGACACAGACTCACAAACACCCCCACCTTCATTCACATGCCTCTTCTCGGTTCACAGCTTGTTGGAATCCAGGAGGAGACAGCCCCAAACCTAAAACATTCACAACCACTGCTTTCAAACAGAGTTCATTCACTTCATACTTCTGCAAATCTCATATCTTATAAAACTTGTTGAATCTCAAATGCTAAATACTGTTCTTAAAAAAGAAACTGCATAGTTACAGTAACATCTTTCTAACATCAGTTCTCCTGCACAATTGTGGTTTGGGGAAATATTCACAAAATTAATATGTTGATTATAGAAGAAACAGGCATCTACGTTTTAAAACAAAATAAGGGAAAATATGCCAACAATTTTTCAATAGTTTCCTTGCTTTCTTTACCCTTTTTAAATCTAGCAATATGACAGCTATTTTGCTCCTAGATTTTCAGTGTGACTGACTGATCCAGATTTTCTCCTTTTGGAGGTGCATTTGACTGTAAGCTGTCATGGTGATTGACAAGATAACTGATTAAAATGTCCTCCTAGTAAAACCAACCAGTGCAACCAACTGCTCATGCAGCCTCTCAGGTCCCTAGACCCCGAATGAAGATTATTACTTCAGGTTCCTGGAGAACAAGGCTATGAATTCCAATTCCACAGGCCTGGCTCCTTCGCTGGCATGGTCTTTTCGAGTGTCAAAGGCTTAGGCTGATGCACAGCAGTGCCTATC